GAGGGAACACTGAAGATGAGGTTGGAGAAGAGAAAACATTCTACCCAGGGCTCTGTGAGGTGAGTTAAAGGTCTTGGTTGGTTTTTATCCTAAGAAAAATGGGAATGTAGGCAGGGGGGTTAACATGAGAATATGTGCACTTTGAAGTCAATGACCAGGCTGCCACTCTGGAAAATAGTTTGTTTGAAGAGGTACAGAGTGGAAGAAATAGACAAGTTTAGAAAAGAACATCAGCAAAAATTGATGAACTCAATGGAGATAGAGAAAACTGATTCCAGAAATGTCCAAGTGTTAGAATATTTTTAATGATGACAGGCTAGATAGTGGAGAAAAGGAAGAATATGTCAAAAATGACTCATATTTCTTACTAGTGAAACTGGATAATAGGTTTAGATTAGAAGATCAAGAGGTCATATTGAAGAACTTTAGATGTTTTCAGTCATGAACTGAAGTTGTCAGGTTCACAGTGATATTATAGATCTGGAGCTAAGAGGAGAGATCTAGGCTGGGCATACATATTTGGAGGTCATCAAGATAGACAGAGCTGTGAAAGCCAATGTTATGGATAAATCACTCAGGGAGAAAATATAAAATGAATAAGAAGAGAGGAAGGTCTAGGAAACAGCCTTGGAAAAAGGTAAGTGTGCAAAGAACTTTAAGATGAAACTTCCAAATAATTAGGAGCATGACCCAGAGAAATTGTGTCAGGGAAGTCATGGATTAGAATTTCAAGGAAAGCAGGACACCAGGGTCAAAGGCTGCTGAGAGGCATCGAAAATGAGCCCTGAAAAACCAAACACAGAAAAATGAGGTGCATGGCTGTACTAGCATAAGTTGGGGGTGATGGGACCAGAAATCAGATTGGAGTATTATAAGTGGGTAGAAATGCGGGAGCTAAGAAATCTGGCTCTGAAGTGGGGAAAAGCATTAAAGTGCAGCAAGAGAGAGATAATGGAATGAAGGAAATGACCTCAGCCATTAAATTTAAATCCCTAATAACAATATCTTGGAATCTGCCCTTATTTCTAGACTACGGATCATACATGAAATAGTAATATTAAGCTCTTTCAAAAGAATAAGTAATTTATAACTGATCATAAATTTTTATACAGTCTTAGGAGACTTCTTTTTCTTTCACACAGTGATCCATTAACCTGGCCATGATTTTGACTACAAGGAAATGATATCCATCCAGATACTCAGAGGATAGAACAGGGTACATAAAGAAGTTAAGTTAATGTAAATCTACTGTGTGGGTAGTAAAAAGCAGCAGCTTTCCCTTATTAAAAAGTCCTCAGGCATCAACTATTCATCATCAATTTTTATTAAATATGCACTAAGCACGCACTGCATATTATTGTGTTAGATGTTGAGAATATAAAGGTAAATAAGACATAATCCCCAATCTCAAGATACTCATCCAATAACAGAAAAGGAATACACCGTGCATTTATTAAGCAGATACCACTAGTACCTTCTATAATACAATAAAAAGTTATGCACAAAATGATATGTAGAAGGGATGCACTGAAAGACTAAAGAGGATATTGTCTCAGTATGTGTGTGTGTGTGTGTGAGAGAGAGAGAGACAGAAAGAGAGAGAGAGACAGAAAGAGAGAGAGAGAGAGAGCAAGAGAGCCTGCATTTTGCATGTTCCCATGGAAGTCAATCATGGAATATTTCATGGAGAGGGAAACCCTGAACTGAGTATTAAATGATATGAAGTTATATTTATTGAGCAATTATAATCTGCCAGGTAAATTGATAAGCACAGCATATCTTCATCAGCCTATTAGAACCATTTTTTTCAGCTTTTTTTTTCTGAATTATTTTTTTGAGGTATAGTTGGTTTATATCATTGTATATGTTTAGGTTCAAATCTCTACAAATGTATGTTTTCACGCCACGTCCACCAACAAAGCCCCAATAATCCTCCAGCATGCTCCATTGGCCCCCTCCATTTCCCACTCCTACCCTACCACCCTCCCCTTCTGTTATCTCAGGTTTGTAGTCAGTTGTCAGAGGTTGGCTTTTGGATTGGTTTTGACTCATCCTTTGTCTTGTTTCTCTATATTCCACATACTAGTGAAGCCATCTGGTACATGTCTTTTTTCCTTCTGACTCATTTCACTTAGCATTCTCATGTCCAGCTCCATCCATGTTGTTGAAAATGACAAGAGTTCACCTTTTTTATATGTATATAAACATATGTGTTTATATACATATATGATATATATATACATACACATCACATTTTTCTGATCTACTCCTCTGTCCTTGAGCACTTAGGATGTTTCTGTAACTTGCCTATTCAGAATAGGAGTATATATATCCCTTAGAATTAATGTTTTTGCATTTTGGGGGTAGATACCTAGCAGTGGAATTGCTGGATCATATATAGATCTATCTTTAACATTTTGAGAAACCTCCAAACAGTTTTCCATATGGCCTGGACCAGTCTACATTCCCACCAACAAATGTACAAGTGTTTTTCCCCACATCCTCACCAACGCTGTTGATTCTGGCCTTCGTGATATTGGCCGTTCTCACATGAGTGAGCTGGCCTCTCATTTTGGTTTTGGTTTGCATTTCCCTGATGATAAGTAATGATGAGCATTGTTTCATGTTGGTCGCCTGTATTACTTCTTTGGAGAAGTGTCTATTTAGTTCTTCTGCCCCTTTTTTATTGGGTTAATCAAAAAAATTTTTGTTATGTTGAATGAGTTTTTTTATGTATTTTGGATATCAGCCTTTTGTCAGATGTACAATGTGCAAATATTTTCTCCCATTCAACTGGGTGTCTTCTTGCTTTTCTTGTATCAATAGTTTCTTTCATTGTGCAGAACCTTTTTAATTTTTATGTAATCCCATCTGTTTATATTTGCTTTTACTTCTCATGCTATTGGAGGTGAATCCCCAAAGACATCTCTGAAGTTGGTGTCATCGAGCATTTTGTCCATTTTTTCTCCAATATATTTTATAGTGTCTTCAATCCATTTTGAGTTAATTTTTGTGTGAGGTAAGAGATGGTTATATAGTTTCATTCTTTTGTATATGGCAAAAGAATTCCAGAATGAAGGTTTTTTTTTTTCTTTATTGATGTCACATTGGTTTACAACACTGTATGTGATACAAAGGCATAGGATTGCACCTCCTCAGATGCGAGTCACCACATCACACCCATTACCAAGGCACCTTCCACCTCCACCAGTCAATTTTTCCCCATCTCATAGTTTCAATTCTATAGTCAGACTTCAAAGGTTTGTTGTTGGTTTGGTTTTGTCTGACCCTTTGATTTGTTTCTCTGTATTCCACATATAAGTCAAACCATCCAGTATACGCATGCCTATGTTCATTGTTGCTCTATTTAGAATAGCCACATTATGAAAACAAGCTAAGTGGGTGATAAATATATATATATGTGTAGACATACACACACACAATAGAATACTACTCGGCTATTTTTTTAAAAATGATGAACTTTTGGCATTTGTGACAGCATGGAGAAAACTGGAGGGGATAATGCTAAGTGAAATAAGTCAGACAGAATGAAGATTTTAATTTTTTTTGAAGATTTTAATTTTAAGGAGATTATCTTTCAATCAACTATTAGGTCATTAAATAGATAGAAGAAAAGTAACTGTAGAGAAAGATAAGGGAGGAAGAAGCCACCAAGCTCCTTAATTTATTTTATGAGTTCCTTCCTGTTGTCAAGTTTCTTGCCTTCTTATAATAATAGATAAATTACAATAACAGAACAGGAAAGGAAGAGGGAAGGAGAGAAGTGGAAGAAAGAGCAATAAAGTTATATAAAATGATTTTTAAAAAAAAGCTGAAATGAGTGAGATTTTAAAAACCAAACCATGAACACTGGAAGAATATAAGATTAAAGGTAGAACTAAAAAAAAAAATAAAAAACAGAAAAGGACTAGTACCCGTGAGATAAAAAGCTGGGAGCATGAAAGTCAGAGGGATGAAATACAAAAACTAAAACAAGAAATCCACATTAAAAGCAATACCAAGTTGACCACGAATTTCTTTTAAAAACTGTTCAAAAATTGTTTTCTTCTAAAAATAGAATAGACAAAAAGGAATTTGAAATAGAAAGTAAAGACAAGGGAAAAGCAAAAATCCTAAAGAATTAAGCAGAACAAGCTAAAATAGAAATAAAGGGAAATTAAGTAATCAATGCATACCATGGCAACAAGAAACTCTCAAATAATGAGATGCTGATTTGTACCTCAGAGTATGTTCTTACTGTAATAAAGAAACAAAACAATAGACCAAAGAAGAGAAAGAGATGAACTCCTGGTAAACCACATTCATTAAAAATGTATCCTGGCTTCCTGTCCATTTTACCATCTCTCCAGTCTTCTTCTGAAAACCAATTTTTCTCTCATCCTCAGCTCAGCCTTCACTACTGCTTACAATAAGAAACAGTTGTAGTCTTGGCAAATTAGGCATTTAACCCCTAGGTAAATTGTAAGAGATACAGAGTCTATTTTGGTTTTTTGTTCATTTGTCCTTTCAATATCCTGCCTTTGAATCTGTGACAACCAAATGCCACTTAGTTTGAATTGGTTTAATTCTACCACGGACAGGATAACTTTCATTTTTAAAGGAGTTCCACTGAAGAGATATTTTGGATAGAAATTGTTTCTGGCCCCCCTGGGTTTTAGTGAATAGCACCACCAGGACGATGGACATTAAATGTCTCCCTTTCGCTGCTACTGCCCCACCACCTCCACCACCTCCCCACTCGGCTTGTGTCCTGGGAGGTTGACTTTCAGGGACTCTGTCCAGGGGCAGCTTTCCCTCAGCCTTTCGGTTGACATTCTCATTGGGAGGCATGGACAGAATGGCAGAGAGGGAGAGGACAGTGAATTCAAGGCTTTTATTCCAGTGGTTCTGTCTCTGCTATGGATGGACTCCAGCCCTCTCCCCCGGCACAGCTCCCACCTGCCTGGCGGCCTTCTGTAGCTACTCCCTCTGATTCTGACCTTAGGTGATTTGCCCTCGTCCTGACTCTTGCATCCTAGGAGTGGTTGATAACTGGCTCCCTGACGGCCCTGGCCCTGAGATGCCTCGCCATCACATGTTGGTTTCCCTTAGCCTTGTCCTTGATGTCATAAGCACCCTTTTATTACTCCTCCACCTTGAGTGTTTCAACTGTGTCCCGCTGGGACCCTGACTGACACAGTATGCAAAAATATTTTGTGGGCAAATTTAACTTGGGCATTCTTCATCCTAACATTCAATGCCTGCATCTACCCATGGGCTGTCTACAGGTCCCCATTCCGACATGCTTCCACAGCTCATAATGCCATTGCATCACCCAGAATGTGTCTCCTTCTCCATCCAAACTTATTTTATCTTGAGCCATTTTTCCCCAAAGGCCAGATCTCTTCAGTGTGCATGTGGGTGAATCCTCATACCTAATCTATGCCAGAAAATGAATTGTCTCTTATTCAGGTAACAGAATGTGATCCTCAAATTATAGGATAGGCATGAATTTATTATTTAAGAAGTCTGAACTAGCATCTCTTCCAGTTTTATCTTCCACCATTTATTGTAAGCACTGCAACAGATTAATTTCTCTATAAAGACACTCTCATCATGCTCCCCACTGGTTTTAAAAGCCTGGATTGATTTTCATTGTCCATAGGATAAATTCAACCATTTAAGATTCACAATTTGTTCTGACTCCAAACTAAGTCTTTAGCTTTATCCACCACTACAGACAGACCTAGAATTACAGGAATAGTGTAAAGGGATGGGGGTTGGGGAGGGCAACACTTTCAAGATCCGCCCTCTTTACAAAAACATTTTCCCCTTTATTCTTCAGTGATGGAAGAAAGCATTATGTGACAAGGGTGAACATTTCTCTGAAATGGCATTTGTAATTTTCCTTCGACTTTAGTTTCTATCTTAATGAAAAGTTGCAAGGTTTACACTGTCATATATCAATAGGGCTGTGTCTTGTACTACACAATTTACCTGACTGATTTTATATGCTATCAAGTTTCCATTCCTATTGCTTTTTCAACTATTAAGACATAACTGAGATTTTGTGACATTTGGCTGTGGCATTGTAAGTGGGTTATAACTTGGGGTTACCAAGAAGTTATGCTTCCCAAACGCCATGCTGCATAAAGTCTTCCTTTAGCAAGATCTGGACATATATCTGTCATGTGCATTCTGATTCCAAGTCTCTTTATTCTCCTACCTGAGCTGTCTTTTATCCTCCTCTCTGCTCCCCAGATACTGCTGGGATGTACAATGCGTTAAATAACCAGTAAGCCATTATTATTGCCACCCGAACTCATTTTAAGCACTATTCTCTAGAGACTTTACTGTTTACCTGTTCATTTGTCATATGCTACTTTATAGCATGTAGCTTTTAATACAGGTCAAGTTTCCCTGATTAGACTGTAAACACTATGCCTTTAGAGCTACCTTGTCTAATTCCTCTATGCATCCCACATTAGCACAGCACCCCAGGAAGTGACAGAAAACAGAAGCTCAGTAAATAATTTATAGCTAAAGTCAAAGCTTCCTCTATCTACCAAAGACAGCTCTAAGGAGGCAGACCTCTCAACCTGACAGAAAGGGGATAACATCCCTGTACTTCTCTTATCTGCTCATGAGGCCTTAAACTGTCCCCCAAAGGAAAGAGTTGATAATTGACCTTCTATCTCAACAGTCAATGAATGCAGGAAACGTATAATCAAGCAAATGTTATGCTTTCCTAAAACTCCTTTCACTGGCTCTCCTTTCTAATAAGCCCTGTGCTGTGCCAATGGTCAGCTCTTTGTAGTTACTATCCTGTCTTCAGTCTTAATCTCCTCAGTATTTATCTTGTCATCTTGCCATGTATATCAGGTAGGAGGACGCAGACTAAGTCACCAGAACAAATAAACCCTGCAATTCACTGACTCAAATAAGACACTTTTTTCTTCCTTGAAAAACACTCCAGAGGTAGGTGGGTGGTCCAGGCTGAGGAAGTAACTCTGCTCCAAAAGAATGTCCAGAAACCCAGGTTCTTCTCATCTTTTGGCTATGCCATCCCCTAAGCTTTTACCCATGTGGTCAAAGCTGGCTGACCATATCTCCATTATAGCTCACAGAATCAGAGGAAAGGAAGTAGAGGGCAACCGATTTCTATCAAGTCCCTGTCATACCAGACAAGTCCCTCCTCTTAACTAGGACTCTAGTTTGTCCACTATGATTAGTATAGACATGGGGTCGCAGGCTGGGTTCTGGGAGTAGAGGCTCAAACCCAGTGTCGTACCACTACTACCACTCAAGAACCTGAAGCCCTTCTTTATAGACACCCAAAAAAATATCCTGTGCTCATAGCTCAATCTGAGTTTATGTATATATTAAATATTAGTTAATATATAAATAGCCTATAATTGAAAGATGTCAAGTACTGCCATGCTTCCTTTCTCTAGTTTCCTGGCACTTTGCTTAATTGGTATTATCAGTTCCCCAGCACCCATGGTCTCAGGCATAACAATTCAAGCCAGTGGTTCATCATCTGGGGCACTTTAGCACACTAGCAAACATTTGGTAATATTCAGAGACATTTGTCTTCAACATAATTGGAGAGGGGAAATGCCACTGGTATTCAGAGGGTAGAGACCAGGAATGTTGCTAAAGGTCCTACCATACACAGCAGAAAGCCTCCCCCTACCTATGACAAGAAATGTCTGGCACAAAATAGAATATTGGCAAGCCTGAGAAACACTATGAATAGGGTTCTGATTCCTCCCTGAAATTTACTGTGAGGCAGGCCAACTTCCAAATACAGTAAATTTTTCAAATGTTCTTATCAAAATAAACAGTCTCAGTAGTCTGTGACCACTAATATTATTTAAGTTGGTTTGCTTTTTTTTTTTTTGAGTGAAAGAAAGTGGTGTATTTTAGAGAATGCTAAAATTTGTTCTCGGTGCTAACAGAGTAAACATAGACAGTTTAGTGGGCACAGGACTGGGGACCAGGTTGATCATGTTCTGCAACTGACTAGTGGTCATCTTGAGCAAATCTTAGTCCTTCTGAACTTCAGCTTTCCTTTCTGGTAAAATGAAGGGTTGGACTCATTCAGTCACCAAATTATTCTTGGTGTGTCTAATTACTTGTTGCAATACTTAACTCTTACCTTCTCTATTTCTGTTTACATGTGCACATCCATGCACACACACTTTCATCTCTACAAGAGGTAATTTCTCAAATTAAGTTTATATTCCTCATATTTAAGCCAGTGGCACTTTGCAACAACAGTTATTAAGGCAAATAGGCAAATCTGTCCCTATTCTCATATAAATCTTTGCTCTAATTTCAAACTTACTATTCCTCAACTTAATAGGTGCACTTTGCCAAGTCTTAGTCTCTCTGGACCTTGGCTTCCACTTGGCAAACTAAATGTCCAAATTCCTTTCCAGCTCTGGTATATTCTGTCTACCCAGAACCTCTTTGGAACTAACTTTGAATCCTCCAAAATCTACATGCTGAGTGGTGTCATGAAAACATAGTAACACACACAGTGAAGACATTTATATCCCATTTATATATATATATATATATATATATATATATCCCATTTTCTAATCAATTCCTCTGTCCTTGGGCACTTAGGTTGATCAATAACATGGCTATTTTAAGTAAGGTTGCAGCCAACATAGGAGTACAAATATTCTTCAGAATTAGTTTTTTGTATTCTTTGGGTAGATAACTAGAACTAGGAGTGGAATTGTCTTTTTTAATTGCTGCCTATTCACTCTGTCAGCAAGTAAGGGATTCTTGCCCTGAGATGTGGGGATGACCAAACACACAACACCTGACATTGGATGGAAGACATCAACAGTAGTTTATTAGTCACATTGGGAAGGATACCATGTACCATGCAAGGCCCCCTGAGGGCTGCACTCAGGGACAGAGTGAACCATCAGAGGCTATGAGAGAGATGCTTTGTAGTTTCAAGAGGGAAAGGTGCTGCCTGGTTTCCTTAGAGAGGGGAAGTGGATATGATCGACTTAATTTCACAGACTGGCAGGGAACTGAAACCCATTACTCAGGGGTAAGCAGGAACTGTGCCTGGTCCCCATGATAAAGAGGATAACTTATATAGGGGAACCTTATCCACAGGAGCAGATCAAGGTCTTCCTGATTTCATTGGATGTCAAGGCAGCACATAATCTTGAACCTTAATTTTGTGTCTTACACAGCAATCTCCTGCAGCAAACATTATCAGCCTGGTCTAAGAGAATGGCCACAAGGTATATGAGTGACTCTGATTGAAGTAAACAGCACTGCAATAAGTGAATATCTTCCCTGAGCAGTGAATGTAAGATCTGTATCATTTAATGTTGCTGAAGCATAAATGGTGGTAAAGCAGGAGGTAGTAAGAAAAAAAAATTTGGACAGACAGACAGACAATGATCATGAAGAGCCTGCAGCCAGGGAAAGAGTTTAGACATATTTTGATGCTAAGAAGCATTCTTCTAAAAATAGTTAAGGGGTTAAAAATCGGAAGAAATAGCTATTTAAAACAAGCTATACTAATTTCTTTACCACATGATATTTTAATATCCTACTCAGGTGCAAATTTAAACCTCCAAGTCAGTGTGCATTACCGCACAATTTTCTTGAACCTAGAGACATTAGTCTTTTAGGAAAAAAAATTTTTCCAGAGCACCAATTAACTGTTCCAGGAAGCAAATTTTAAAAATTGCTGTTATAGGTAATGAGGGATCATTAAAAGATTCAAGCTAGGAGTGACATTGTCATATTCGTATTTTAAATTAAACACTCTGGTAGATGTGTAGATTAATTTAAAAGGATAAATCTTTGAGTATTTAGTGAATCCACCTAGGAGGCTGTGGAAGCAATCCAGGAAAGCAATCATGAATAGAAGTAAGATAATAGCAACAAGGAAAAGGGAAATTTGAAAGAAGTTTTTATGTATGAGATAAAGTTAATAGTAAGAGACCTATGCCATGCTAATGCCACAAACACACACCAAAATCCCAGTGACTTACCTCAACAAAGGTGTCTATGCTGTTTATACTAAAATGTCTACCATAAGTTATG